TCTCCTTCAGTGCATGTTTCTTTTGATAGGTATTAACACCTTAGTTGACGCAGACATGGTTCCCGAACCAAAAATTATTGATGCGGCTTTGAGGGCCTGCAGGCGGCTAAATGACTTCGCTACCACAATCCGCATCTTGGAAATGGTAAAGGTGAGTTAAGGCATCCTTCTGCTTCTCTACAATATGGAGCACGGTGGTAAAATGTTCCCTTACACACGTCGGTTGCATTCACGACCAAAGCTCTGAGATTCTTCTTCCCCCCCCCTTCCCCTCCATCCTTATATGGGAAAGGCTTAAAGTGACGCTTGTAATGAAGCATTCACCACAAGCACACTTGAGTGGGAGAGGAATCAGACAGGAACCAGTGGCCTAGTAGGCCAGATTGTTTAAATTCACTGACCTTATCTCAGAGATAGCATAGGTAGCATCCTGGCTTAGTATGCAGGGATAAAGTGTCTGCTTCTATATGTTGCAGACTGGCTCCTCCTAATTCATTGACACTCATCCAGTACTAAGGGAGCCAGTTTGGTCTAGTGGTCAAGGCACCAGGCTAAAAACCAGGAGATGGCGAGTTCTAGTCCCACCTTAGGCATGAAAGCTAGCTAGGTGACCTTGGGCCGGTCACTTTCAGACCAACTCATCTCACAAGATTGTTGCCTTGAGTTATCTATAAAAATAAATTAAAAATATCAATTTAAAGGGGAATTCAAGATGCTGAACTTAATAAGCATATGCTTCACCTATGTAATATAGCTTCTCTGAACACGAAATTTTCAGAAATAAGGTCAGCAGTCAGAAAGAACTAATCAAATAAGTTCAGTGAAACCATATATGAGTGACTACAACTGCAGCTTTCTAGCAGTCAAAATATCTGTTGCTTGTGAGTTATGCGTATTTCTTGGATAAAATTTGGGCCATAGAAAAGTTAAGCTCTTGGGATTAAGTAGACCCATCTTGTCTTGCCAAATCTACTCTTTAAATTCTGAATTTCTTTTGTGTTCTCTTTGAATTAGTACAAATCAGGCAGATACAAGGATATATATCCTTACGTTATCCAGGAACTTAGACCAACTTTGAATGAATTGGGAATTTCAACTCCAGAAGAACTTGACATGGACAAAGTGTAAACTTAAATGTAAGAAAATACATTTTTAATTTTTGCCTTGTGCGCGTGTTCTTTAATATTCTGTTCGGCGTTTAAAGTAAACAAAGGCTTCTAAAAATGTAGAAAATACATTTGTCTACCATTTTGATAAGGTAGAGAAAAATATTTCTTTCCCTATGCAGGAAATGTGCGGCACGTGGTATATTCTCAATAACTGGAATCCAATTTTCTGTAGAATACTTGGGCTCTAATACCTCTGAGATTTAAAGTATATTAAAAATGAAAATACACCTCAGTCATCTTGTACTTCTTCACTTTACTTTTTTTTGGGGGGGGGGACTAGTTTAAAATGCAGCAGACATCCCTCAAATTCAAAAAAAAAAAAAATAAGCTCTGTATTTTAAAACAGAATATGGATGTAATCCTGCTATCTTAAATAGCTATCTTGCTCTTATTCACCATTTATTTCCCCTGATACACAGAGACACACCCACAGAGAGTGAGCATGATAGTGAGAGCATTTTGCCAACAAGGCAAAATTAGAGAAATTGGCACAAGCAAATTTATGCTAAAATAAAACAGTTTTGTGGAACCTGCATGCATATTGGAAGCGCATGTAGTGGAGAGGCAGAGAAAAAAGTCCCATGTTACAGGACAAAAGCAGACCATGGGTCTCCTAACTTCTTATTGGTTGTAATTACACGTGTGGTGTTTTGAGGATACATTGCAGGCACTCTCACAGAATGGATTGGGGCTTCCCCCTTCATAAAATGGCTGTGATGTCAAGGTAACCACATATTTGCAAAGCTCCAGGCACTTCGAATGCTACGCCCGTCCGTTCTATCTCTCTTCCTCCCTCCCTTTCCTGCCTACAATCTACTTGTCTGAGTTTTTCTCAGATTTGTTTTTTAAAATGTAAAAAGAGCCTGGAGCCTGATGGAAATTAGGAGAGGTGTTTTTGTATACAAGTAGCAGCCCGGGTGTTATGCGAAGCGTCCAAAGGATAGACAAAGGTAAAAATAAGCACAAATAGGCTGAAAAATAGTTTTCATCCCAGCGCTGTAACCGTATTAAATACTACTGTATAGTGCAACATTGAAGTGCAATATCAGGGGCAGCGCAATGGTGAAGGATGTGTGTATATAATGTATGTTTTTATTTGTGTGTAGTGTGCACTGTGGACAGCACTTAATTTCATTGTGTGATACACAGTGACAATAAGGATTATTCTATTCGCAATTAAATGCTACAAGTAATTCCTTAAGTTGCTCTATGCAGGCATGTATTCATCTGCAAGCTAGTACTGGAATATCTTTTCTTAACCTTTCTATCCACTCCCTCCTCAAGAGGCTTATGAACTTGAAAATAATACATCCAAACTAATTCCAGCTATCTGTTTTTTTCCAGGCGGACTTCCCATGAATATACTGTTAAGGTTCTGTGACTGTACAACAATTATCTGGATATAGACATTATAATTACTTATTTGAAATCACTTCTTCCTTTTATTGAGTCCTGGATATGTGTTGTGAAGTTGACCTAATAAAGAGGAAATGGTTTGAATTGACTTTAGACCTTAGACTATGGTTATAGATTACCAAAAAAAATGTGTTTTCCAAGGCAAGATTGAGCAAACATGGGATGCTATTCAGACATTGAATTCCATACATTTCTGCACAAAAAGCAGTTCTTCACATTTCAAAAAATGAAAGAATCCAGCATTTTAACATGATGAAATTACAATTTCATAAGTATTCATGTTAAGAACAGCATAGAATCATATTGCTTTCATGGAATATAAATTGGAGAAGACGCTTGATTGACTTTAGTCACTTACACACATCTTAGCATTTATTACATAAAAAGAAAACTCTCAAGTCTCCACATTAAGCAATGTAATGTGTCAGTTAGAGCAGGGCTTTTCAACTTTTTCGCCCATTGTACCATTTTTAGGATATGGCAATATCCGAGTACCACCAGTCGCCTAGCAAAGTGTCGAAAACTTGATGACCAAAAAAAAAAAAAAAAGGGAAAAAGTGATAAAGTACAGATAGTCCTCAACTTACAACAGTTCGCTTAGTGACTGTTCAAAGTTACAATGGCACTGAAAAAAGTGCCCCCCAAGGCACAGCCGAGCAAGACCCCTGCCTGCCCACCCACCGGCGCTCTTCCTCCTGTCTGAGGTTTCCATTGTTGTGAGCATTTCTGTTGAGGATTGGCAGCGGGATTGGGGTGGGGGGGCTGTTTGGTTTTTATTCCCCTCCGTCTGCTGGGTGGTTGCAGCCGGTTTTGGTCACTTCACATGACCCTGGGTCACTGTGACCGTCATAAGTATGAATCAGTTGGCAAGCATCTGAATGTAAATCACAAGACCCTGGAGATGCTGCAACATTCCAGGTGATTGGTGCTTCTTCTGGGCTCAGTAGAAGCACCAGGATCAGCACCGAGCTCCAGCTGGAGCCTGGCACTAATTCTGGCGCTTCCACTGAGCCCTGACCATCCCAAAGAAGCGCTGATCCTGGTGCTTCCGCTGAGCCCAAACAGCCCTGCAGCTCCAGTCGTCTCTCGCTCAGGCTTGTGCGGTGCTGCCACCGGTTCAGCTCATTCCCCTCCCCTGCTACACTTTTCTAGGATGGTTGCGTACCACCTGCCAGGTGCCAATGTACCACAGATGGTACCCCTACCACTGGTTGAAAAGCCCTGAGTTAGACCACTTAAAAACAGACAAGTTCCTAGTCCTAATAGTTTTATTTAGAAGCTTTTGAAAATATGTGGTCGTGCTTGATGAGATCTGTTCACTTGCTGGCTGAAATTTCCTTTGATCCAGTGACTTTCTTGTATCACTGAATAAATACTGAAGCAGAGACTTGCATAAAATAAGAATAGTGGCGAATCTGAACATATTTTGTCAGGATAAACACACGGATGCATCACACATTGACGTGAAACAATTGTATCCCTGCGAAGGATGAGCAAGGCAGCTTAGGAAGACAGCGCATATGTTGTGAATACAGTTAGCTACTCTTTATATAATGGCTAAGAATTACTTCTCTTTATATAATGGCTAAGAATTGCTTCGTGTTGCTTTCTTTTTACACGCCCCCAGAGAGGCCATTGCAGCCTCTGATCTATCCCTTCATAGAAACGGGTTAATCGAATCCCTTGCCTCAGTATTTATTTATTAAATTTATATGTCACCCATATCATCACCACCATCAAGCAATGTTAGGTAATTTACAACGAGGTAAAAAACCACAATATAAAACATTAATACATATATATATATACATAAAACATGTAAATATATATATATACATTGCTTACTGGTGTCCACCGCTTAGAGAGTGCTTGCACTTAAAGCGGTATATAAGTCTCATAAATAAATAAATAAATGGATAAAATGCGAACATTTCACAAAAATAACTAAGGAAGATAGCAGCACGATGGGAGTTGTAGTGCAAGACCTCTGGGACAGGCTGGAGAAAAAGACTTTTCCTACAAATGAGATAAAATTGCCCCTTTTTTTTCTGTCGGTTTAACAAAATTACTGGAGGCAGCAGCGCTTCAACTGGGGGGCTCTGGTGACAGATACCACGGAGCGCGAGACCGCCAGCATCCTAGAGCGCCCCTTCGCTCCTCTGCTCTTCCAAAAAAACAAAAAACAAAACAAAAACCCGGGGCCACCTCCCATTGGTCGGCTCTGGCTCCGCTAACCCCGCCCGTAGGCGTTGCTCGCGCGCGCGAGAGAGCAAGGGCGGGGCCCTCAGGCCGACCAATCCGGCAGAACGTCGGATGCTAATTTCGGAGGGGAAAAAAAAAAAACCTGGCCGTCGCGTTTCCTATTGGCTGAGAGACGCGATGACGGGCGGAGGAGGCGTGGCCTGGAGGGGCGGGGGGACACTCCCCGGGCAAGAAGCGGCGATGGCGACGGGAGATGGAGGCGAGGAGGAGCCGCCGCGGGGAAAGGAGGCCGGGCCGCGCCTTGTGCCCGGCGGCGACTCGGTGAGGCAGGGGCAGCCGCGGGGCTGGGAAAGTCGCAGCCGATGGAAAGCCTCTTCCTGGCCGGCCTGGGGGCTTCTGGGTCGGCCCGAGGAGCTCGGCTGGATCAGGCCTGGGGTGGGGAGTGGGTGGGTTGGGTGGGGGGAATGTGGTGGGGGGGGAGTGGGGGGTGGGGGGTGGGGGGGAGTGGGGGGGTTGGGTGGGGGGAATGTGGGGGAGTGGGGAGTGGGGGGGGGTGGGGAGTGGGGGGGAATGTGGGGGAGTGGGTAGGTTGGGTGGGGGGTGGGGGGAGGGGGTGGGGGTGGGGAGTGGGTGGGGTGGGGGGAATGGGGAGTGGGGGTGGGGAGTGGGGGGGTGGGGAGGGAGGGTGGGGAGGGAGTGGAGGTGGGGATTGGGGGGGTGGGGGGCTCTGGGCTGGGTCCTTTATTCCTCTTAACCACCCCTCCCGGCCTCCCTCAACCTCTTGTTCTTCTCGTCTTCCTATTGGCGGAGACGGCTATAGGGGGGTAGACTGCTGCTGGCTGTGGAGGCTCCATTTAGAAACGGCCAAGGTGTTAAGAGCAAGGATGGAGAATCCAGGCTTTCCCAGCCCGTTGCAGTGCGGGAGGGTATAAAAATGTGGGGAAAAAATGGTCCTGAGTCACTTTTTTTTTCAGCGCCGTTGTAACTTGGAACAGTCACTAAACAAACTGTTGTAAGTCGAGGACTAGCGGTATGTCTTCCCGGAGGTGGACAGTCTTCATGCCCTAACAGTAGATTTAGTATACAGCTAGCTGGGTTCCTCCCTCCATTCAGCTATTAATAATGATTTACGAGATGTCGGTAGCCGGGTCCAACTACTTGGACCCAGTAGGAATGAAAAGAAACTCAATTTGTCAATTACAAAAATGTTGCCTTTCTTGAAACAGCCTATATATTAAGACAATACTATCCCTACATCAGGGGTCTTCAAACTTGGCCCTTGTATGACTTGTGGACTTCAACTCCCAGAATTCCTCAGCCAGGGATTCTGGGAGGAATTCTGGGAGTTGAAGTCCACAAGTCATAAAAGGGCCAAGTTTGAAGACCCCTGCCCTAGATCCTTGGGAAGGATCCAGCAGCAAAAAGTACTAAATCCAATCACAGCGTTTGGGTAGATGATATATAAGCAACAACAATTATATGTAAGCAACAACGACGACAACAAGCTTCTTGTTAATGTTGCCCTTTTTATGTTTTATTTCTGGCGTGGCCAGTGTCCAACGCAACTGCTATTCCAACTTCTCACTCCCCCCCCCATTCCTTTTTCAGGGGCAAATGGACAAACGAAGGATGTGCCGGGACCCCCCAGTAGAGAAAAGAGGTCCCTACATTATGAACAAACCATCTTCTATTCAGGATAAGCTACGTAAGTAAAAGCACACACGGCTTTTCTCCACCTCCCCGAAAGTGTGCTCTTTATAGATGGTCCTCAACTTAGGACTGTAATGGAGCCTGCCTGTTAAGGTCATAAGTTATGAGGGTCATGCAGTGGATCACACTTTTGTTGTTGTTAGTCGGGAAGTCGTGTCCGACCCATCGCGACCCCGTAGACAACGTTCCTCCAGGCCTTCCTGTCCTCTACCATCTTCTGGAGTCCATTTAAGCTCATGTCTCCTGCTTCCGTGACTCCATCCAGCCACCTCATTCTCTGTCGTCCCCTTCTTCTCTTGCCCTCCATCTTTCCCAGCATTAGGCCCTTCTCCAGTGAGTCCTTCCTTCTCATTAGGTGGCCAAAGTATTTGAGTTTCAACTTCAGGATCTGGCCTTCTAAAGAGCAGTCGGGGTTGATCTCTTCTAGGAATGACCGGTTCGAACGCCTTGCAGTCCAGGGGACTCGCAGGAGTCTTCTCCAGCACCTTAGTTCAAAGGCCTCAATTCTTTGGCGCTCAGCCTTTCTTATGGTCCAGTTTTCACAGCCATACATTGCAACTGGTAAAACTATGGTCTTGACTATACGCACTTTTGTTGGCAGGGTGATGTCTCTGCTTTTTAGTATGCTGTCTAGATTTGCCATAGCTTTCCTCCCCAGGAGCAAGCGTATTGGACATTTTCCAACCTGATCATTTTCCAGCATTATATCTTTTTGCCTTTTGGTACAGTCCAGGGGGTTTTCATGGCAAAGATACTGGAGTGGGTTGCCATTTCCTTCTCCAGTGGATCCCATTTTGTCAGAACTCTCTGCTATGACCTGTCCGTCTTGGGTGGCCCTGCATAGCATAGCTCATAGCTTCATTGAGTCACGCAAGTCCCTTCGCCACGACAAGGAGGGATCACACTTTACGTGAGCGTCAAGTGAACCAATTGTTCACAATCGACCTGTGTTGCCCAAAACCGGAAGCAAATGCTGATTTTTAACAAAAAGGTGAGATGCTCCAAACCGTGGGTTATTGAACAGAAGCCCAAAGAGTAGAGCCAGTTGCTGAATTTCTCTTCCATGTTGTTGTGGTGTCGCAGAAAAACATCGCGAGATGGCCAAGGCAATGCTGCGGAAAAAGGGGGTTCTTTCAGGAGCTGTCCGGCAACAGCCCAAACCAGGAGCCGTGAGGTCAGAGTTCGTGTCCTTTTCTTCTTGAATGGCGCTGATGATTACTTTTCAGGATTGGCCAGGATGCCAGGGGGGAACTTGAAAAGTGGTGCCTGTGAATCTGGGGGAGGAAATCCCTTTTTATTCAGGACCAGGTGCATAAGGTCTGTGGAGATTCTCAATCATCTAGGTCAGGGGTAGGCAACCTTGGCTCTTTTATGAATCATGGACTTCAACTCCCAGAATTCCTGAGCCAGCCATGCTGAGGGGAGAGGGAGAGGTTTCCAAGCTGAGCCATGCTGGCTCAGGAATTCTGGGAATTGAAGTCCACGAGTCATAAAAGAGCCAAGGTTGCCTACCCCTGCCTTAGGATGTTCGGAAGGGCTTTTGGACAGTCCTTATGCAGAAAACAGCTTCGGATAGGACCTTGGACATTCTGGAGAGTTCCCTGGGGATGGGCACCAGCACAAGCCCAAAAGCTTGGACAAATAAGCCTTTGGTCCTGGTGACAGGCTCAGATTGGATCCAGAACCTTGGATAGCTCCACAGGAGCTTCGAGGCTTAACAAATGGGTGAATGTTGTCTCAGCAGAAAGCAAAATTAAATGGAAGCTTAAGCCAAGAACCGTGGCTCTTTTATGACTGGTGGACTTCAACTCCCAGAATTCCTGAGCCAGCCATGCTGAGGGAAAGGGAGAGGTTTCCAAGCTGAGCCATGCTGGCTCAGGAATTCTGGGAGTTGAAGTCCATGAGTCATAAAAGAGCCAAGGTTGCCTAGCCCTGATCTCAGTCATGGTTGTCCCAAAGGTGCTTTTTCCACGAGGCAACTGGACTTTCTTGTTTTTCTTTGAAAATGTTTTCGCTTCTCCTCCAAGAAGCTTCTTCAGCTCTGGCTGGATGGTGGAGAATGGAAAGATGTATACTCAGAACTGAAGAAGCTTCTTAGATGAGAAGCGAAACACCTTTTTCGAAGAGGAAAAAGAAAGCAAGCTCAGTTGCCTCGTGAAAAAGCATCTTTTTGACGACCAGGTGCAGAAGTGAGGAACGCGAAGCCTGCAGGGAATCCTGTCTTTCCAACCAGAAATATTCCAAAGTTATGCTGTCTCTTTCCGTTGCTGCTGCACAGCAGTGTTTCATGGCGATTCCTCCTCTTAGCAGGACGGTGAAATTCAACAAGGGCTACACTGCGCTCAGCCAGACCTCAGATGAAACCCTGGTGGCCCTGGATTCCGACAGGTGAGAGGCATGTAAGCATTGCTTGACTTTTGGGGTCTGAAAAAAAGAAAATGGATTAGCTCTCCGCTCCAAGAGTGTAAATAGCTTGCCCTAAGCAGCCTGTCCCAAATCTTGACTGACAAATGCAGGTCAAATACAGGGTAGCTTCTCACCGTGTTGTGGGAAGCCCTTTGATTTGATTTAATTTTTGTTTATGGGCGAATGGGCAACTGAAAATGGGGCTTATAATATCCTTTCAACTGGTCCTTAATTTTCTTCTCCTAGCGATGACCTGGAATCTAGATGCTCTTCTGGTTACTCTTCGGCCGAGGCAAGTCTGATCTTATAATTTAATAATCTAATTTATTAATTTAATAATTCTTCCCTGGGTTAGTTCTCCTATGAGCCGCCCAGCCGGCTATCATGCCTAAGATGGGACTACAACTCGCCATCTCCTGGTGATTGGCCCAAAGTCACCCAGCCGGCTTTCATGCCTAAGGCGGGACTAGAACTCCCCGTCTCCTGGTGATTGGCCCAAAGTCACCCAGCCAGCTTTCATACTTAAGGCGGGACTAGAACTCACCGTCTCCTGGTGATTGGCCCAAAGTCACCCAGCCAGCTTTCATGCCTAAGGCGGGACTAGAACTCACCGTCTCCTGGTGATTGGCCCAAAGTCACCCAGCCGGCTTTCATGCCTAAGGCGGGACTAGAACTCACCGTCTCCTGGTGATTGGCCCAAAGTCACCCAGCCGGCTTTCATACCTAAGGCAGGACTAGAACTCACCGTCTCCTGGTGATTGGCCCAAAGTAATCCAGGTGGTTTTCGTGCCTAAAGTGGGATTAAGAGTCTCCTGGTTTCTTGCTCAGCACCTCACTCTACCAGTTAAGATGTGTATTGATTCCATTTTTCCTCCCCTCAGGTCAACCAGGATCTCAGTCGCCAACTGCTGCAGGACGGCTACCGCCTGGATGAGATCCCCGACGACGAGGACCTCGACCTGATTCCCCCGAAGCCCATTTCATCCTCACCGTGCTCCTGTTGCTTTGGCGACTCCGCCTCCTGCTCCATCCAATAGGGAGAAGCCTCGGAGGATTGCACTACACGGGTCAAGAATTCAGCACTTTTCTTCCCAATTCCTCTTTTTTTTTTTTTTTGATCTCTGCTGAGCCCAGCACTGAACTTTAGGTCAAACTGGTGGGACGGGGGGCAACCCTAGAGATTCAGCCCCTGGAAGGGCAAAGGAGTGCGCTGTTGGCACCTTGCTTGGAGCTCCAGGCGTCTTCTGGTGCAACGTAGAAATGTATGAAGTGTAAGTATTCAGGAGGCTGGTGGATGCCCTTTGCAAAGAGAGTTGCTTCTCTGGACAGGCTCGGCACTCCTGAGGAATAACCAGAAGGCAAGGATTTCTCCCCATAAAAGGTGAACGGAAAACTGTGTGCGTGCATGTGTGCGGGTAAAAGCGAACAATGGCCATTTCGGTCCTAGGTTCACCATATATTGGGCCTGCGGACGTCAGTACACCGAAGGGGAAGGAAACCCTCAGTGCTGCATAGAGACAAAGAGGTTTCAGTCCTCGGTTGCTTTTTCTGAGGAGAGAGAAGCTCTTGAGATGTTTCTGCAGGACCTCCTTAGGATGGAGATTTTGTCTTGCACAAGAGGGCAGAGCAGCTTGTGCCCTGTTTCTTGAGGACGTGGGCCTTCACTTGGTCTCCAGCCACCCGGTTAATGGTTTTAATTTCTAATCTAGAACCATTGGATCACTCATTCTGTTCCCTTTAGGTAGGAAGTAAAAAGAAAGGAGGTCGAAGATGCCTGAGTTAGTATTCAGCCTTTAATTGACCCCCTGAAGGATCTCAAAGCAACGTAACCTTAGGAAATAGCTTACCCTTCTCTTTGAAGGTTGATTCTCTCAGATCGGTGGGCAGTTGGGCAAATGTTCTGGGAAACTATAGGCCTTAATGTTGGACCATCTTTGAAGAGTTGATTTACTTGCTAGATGGGATTTGGTGTTGCTTGGGACCCACTTCCTATTTTGGGCAGGTACAAGAGGGGAAGCTAAGCGAGGAGGAGAAGCTTGAACCTTCTTAAGATATCTGGGCTCAGCTTTGTAGGTCACTTAAAACTCTCGTGTTATCGAAATATCTGTTAACTTTTAATGTTCTCTAATGTCCTTCAAATGGATGAAAGTCCTATCATCCCCTTGCTTAGGAACATCTTGGGAAGACCACCAAGGGACCGTAGTCCGAGTTAAATTAACCCATGGAAGGGGACACCTCTGGACCTTCTTGTAGGAAAGGACGAGTTTTAGGAGCTTGCATAGACTGTTGGAAGTGCGTAACTTGTGTGGTAAGCAGTACTGAGTTAAGATCTAGTCTTCCTAGATCTCCAGCACTGACTGACACAGAACAAAAGTGATCTATCTTTAACCATTTTCCATCAGATGTTCCAACTGACGACTCAAGAGATGTTGATGGGACCACTGGCATGTCCATCTCTAGAGACAATGTGTGGTGCGATTTCTGGATGTTGGGTGGGAGTTGTTGTACTCTACAAGGTGGTAGTGGAGTTCATCAACATGAACATGTCCATCTTTGCTTCACTGGTTGGGGGGAAGTCAATGTCATCTCCCAGTTTGATCACAGAAGATCAGGAGTTCTTCAGCTGGATCCCTGCAATTTGAAGATGTCCCAGTGTGGACATCCTAAACATATCTCGCTTCTGGTCACAGCCCCACCCCGCAATGAAGCCCATTTCTTCCTCATACACACAACTTGCTCTTGTGTCTTGTGACTCTCTCAAAGCGGACTAGGACAACTTGCTGCGGGACAATTGTCTCTGCGGGACAATTCAGCAATTCAGTGTAATTGTTTAAAATAAGTTTTTAAAAAATAATTCTTATTTTTTTCTTTTTGCCGTTCACATTTCATTCTGCCCCTCCTTTTGCATCCTTTCTTACATGATTTTGTCCCACCGTTTCTTCGATATTAGTAACTCTCGTCCTGCAGCAAGTTGTCCATGGCAAGTTGGCCGTGGCGAGTTGTCGTAGACCCCTCTCAAAGTCAACAACTTCTCCGGCTTCGGTTGACACAGTCCGGGGTGAAACACAAAGATGCCACTGCAAATTATGCAATCCTTTTTAGGAGCTTCCCAGCGTGGCTTGCAAAGCTGCAGATGGCCATGAGATGGCAGCCAAAACACACAGTATGGCTGCTTCTAGGCTGCCCTCTACTGGTTATCTGGATTTGTCAATCCCAAATCTGATTTCTCCAGCTATTTTTAATCAAACTATCCAACATCAGTTACTAGCAGGTACACTGGCTTGGGGTGGGTTTTTTTTTTTTTGTTTTGCTTTGTTTTTTTTGGCCCTGCTGGGACACATCACCAGCAAGTTAATTTTTAAACAAGTGACCTTGTATCTACAAATCTTTACAGAATTGGCTTGCTAGAGCAGTGGTTCTCAACCTTTTTAATGCCGCGACCTCCCCCCAACCGGTCGTAAGTCGAGGACTACCCAACCGGTCATAAGTCGAGGACTTTCCCTGCCCAGGAGCACCGCACATGCATGGTGCCGCCCCCTGCACCGGCCGAGGCGTAGCTGGCAAGGGCAGCGACGGTGCAGGGCGACCACCGGCTGGGCCACCAACTGGCCCAGCCCAAGGGAGGTAAGGCACCCGCCGGGCCCCACGCGCGCCAGCAACCCTCCCTGCGCCCACCGGCCTCCCACCTCCCACCCCTGGCCCTCTTTTACTTACGTTTTTAGTAGTTGCTCAGCAGGGAGGGGTGGAAACTTCCAGACAGCTCGCCTTCGCTGCAGAAAACTTGCAGCACCGCTTGCAGAAGGGGACTTTTGGCGGGCTCAGCAGGGCAGAGACAGATTGGACAATTCCTATTGGCTTTTGAAAGCCAATAGAATTAAGACTCTATTCAAGAGAGTCTATTCTATTGGCTTTCAAAAGCCAATAGAATAAAAGGGAGTAGCACAGCTAAGGAAAAGGGGGGAAAAAATGGCGGACTGCGTTGTTTGGCGACCCCCGTGAAATGGTCGCTCGACCCCAAATGGGGTCGCGACCCACAGGTCGAGAACCGCTGTGCTAGAGCTATAAACTCAGCATTTCCCAATCTATTCCATCTGTGCCGGATTACAGCCAGTAGAAATTCAGACTTGCAAGTCCTAATCACGGAGGGGGCAGGAAATACTAGGTTGGAGAAAGTTGTACTAATAGTGGCAAATATGATAGTAGAGTGGTAAAAGTTGTACTAAGCTAAACCAATACCGTTGGTTTCGCTTAAAAAAAAAAAGCTGCTGTTCCTTTCATTTATTTATTAGGAAAAAAGGCTTCTTTGTTAGTCAGATCACCACATGTGGTTTGTCCAGGACATAAACTATGATGTTCACAATGGAGTCTGTGTTACTTATGCACAGCTCCTTCAATAAGCTTTAATGATCCGTATCTTCATAGACGCTCAGAATTTAAGGCTTAGATGGGACCTTAAAGATCATCTAGTCCAGAGTTCTCCAAACTTGGCCATGTAAGACTTGTGGACTTCAACTCCCAGAATCCCTCAGCTAGCACGTTATTCTGGGAGTCAAAGTCCACAAATCTTAAAAGTTGCCAAGTCTGGAGACCCCTGATGTAATGGATGATTTTACAAGCATTTTTAGAATCGACCCCATTAAATCTGCCCAGTAGAGTTTATTTTGAAAGCTGCCTTAAAGCACTAAAATGCATTACATGAAGTTTTTTTTTTTTAAAAAAAGAAAAACTGAACAGCACAGAAGACAATCTTATGGGATATTTAATACTGTGTACTCCGTTAATTGTGTGTCTTTTTTTTTTGTACAGTCTAACCAAGGAAAGAGTCTTATCAAATAAAGTACCTTCTATTCTACATACTTGTACCTTTGTTTTCTGAAACTGATATTCTAATCACGGTAAGAATGCCAACTAGACTTTACATCAGTTAATTCATCCATAAACTGGGTTTGTATAGCATGCTATTAAAAAAAAAACACCAGGAAATAGCTTGTCACACCTGGGTAAACAAAAGTATTATTTACTTTTATTTATTTGATTTTTATTCCCCCTTTATTGTTTTTGTTCCTTCCTCCTCCTGTTTTCCATATAACAACCTCTGTGAGGTGGGTTGGGCTGAATAGTGGCCCAAAGTCACCCAGCCAGCTTTCACACCTAAGGCAGGACTAGAACTCACAGTCTTCTGGTTTCTAGCCTGGTGCCTTAGCCACTAGGCCAAACATCGTGGCTTAAAGTGACAGTTGGATTGGCACAGTATTCAAGGCTAGACTCACTAAGATGTATAATGTGTTGATCAAAAAGTCTACAGTTAGGATGCTTATCAGGGTCCAGGGTAAAGGCCAGGGTCAGTGTTTGTGTGTGTGTGTGTGTGTGTGTGTGTGTGTGTGTGTGTGTGTGTGTGTGAAAGAGAGGGTCCAAAGCTTGTCCAGTGAAAACATTTCATGTAGCTTTGATTGGCCACAATTGGGAGCCAAATTAGCGCAGTCATTAGGCAAATCATCACATGACAAATTTTTGCCACATTACACTATCATTGATTACTGTGTGGCCCTCTTCAACCACCCCATTAATTTGCAAGCCTCAAGTCTGGGAAGTTTCTGGGAGTTGAGGTCCACCCGCCTTCCAATTGCCAAAATTGAAAAAAAAACACTGTTTTAGTCTTAAGATACAGAGACCACAACCCTACTATTCAAAGAAGCATGACACCAAAGAAGCCTCTACTGAGACGTTGCGTTCTTTGCCAACTCTGAAAACAAAGCATTGCCCACAGCCTCCCTGTGTGCCTCCACTTCGGGGGTGGCAGGGCTACTAAAGCATTTCCAACCTTACATTTTTGGAGCCATGGACAAATGTAGCATTGGCCAAGGAGAGAAGACTGTTGATATTCAAAGACAGCCTGAGCCTCAGTCTCTGAAGGGTGAAACAAATGGGAGAGATGCAGCTTCTACTGATCTTGAATTACTCTACAGAGGAAAATGGCTCGGTGTCCCTTATTATAAGAGGCAGAAGGCCCGGAAGAAAACCATCCTGTCGGCCGAATTAAAATGCAAAGAGAGGCTCTCGTTGGCAGAGATGAACAGCACAGTGCCGGGGCGTAGAGCCATTTCAGATAGAGCAGCCGTGGAAGTGCCGATGGCCGAACCCTGGACCACCAACAGGATGCTTGCCGAGTCGATGGCCGAAATGAGGTACAGCTTGATGGAGGAAGGGATCTGTAAGAAAAAGCAGAGGTGTTGCTCGACACAGGAAGTAAGAAAAAAGAACAGTCTTCCTGCATTGGAACAGGAAGCAAGTGAAACAAAGCGGGAACAGGAAGCAAGTGAAAGCGGGAACAGGAAGCAAGTGAAACAAACAGGAAGCAACAAACGAGAAAGGAACAGGAAGCTGACGCTGGAA